GGGGGTTCATTCTGATATCTAATCGGGACGATTTTTTTTTATTTTGGATAACTTTTCGAGATTTATGCGTTCTAAGGTATCTTGCTTAATACATTGGTTATATACATGTTGCATCCATCTTTTATATATATATATATATATATATATATTAAAAGGATATGGGTCTACACTCAGGAAATGGAATCTACTCGTGTGAGTAGATCTCATGTGCGAGCACCCATTTCCAGTATTAATTAATAACAATATTTACTAATTAATAATAATTATTATTAATTAATTACAGTAATTAATAGTGTAATAACACGCACCCATTTCCATTAATTAATTACTAATTAATTATTAAATAATAATAATAATTACTAATTAATAACTGTAATAATATAATTACTGATTATTATAGTAATTTAATAAATATATAATTAGTGATTATAATTAATAATTACTGTGATTATAAATATTGTTAATAAATAGATATTTACTTAAAATTTACTTTAATCATTAATTACTGTAATAATAATTACTGATTATTACAGTACTTTAATAAATATATAATTACTGTTATTATAAATATTATTAATAAATAGACATTTACTTAAATCTTACTTTAAATTAAAATTATAAATACTGTTAATAAATATAGTAATTATTTTTATATTCAAAATAATTAAAAAATTTATTAAAAGTATTGTTTTTGATTATTTAATAAGATATTATAATTATTGACTATTACTAATAAATACTGTTAATTTAATTTAATTTTGGTAATTATTAATATAATGAATATTGTTAATAAATCCTATTGATAAATTTAATAATTATTGTTATATTAAAAATAACTAAATAATATTATTAAAACTATCATTAATGATTATTTAATTAAATAGTATAATTACTTACTTTATTGATAAATGTTGTTAATAACGTTCTAACAACCGACAGTTCGACCATTCGATTCGAACGGATGGCTCGTTCTGACAACAAAAATTACAAGTAAAAAATTATGGAACCATTATGGCCACTGGTTTTTGGGTCGACGGTTCAATCATCCGGTTCGAGTGGACAGTCCGTTCTAACAACAAAAATTATAGGCAAAAAGTTGAGTTTATGAGGGCCATTAAGTAGTATCATACGTGTTATTTCATTTGAGCGTGTGACTCATACAGCCCGAAAACGAAACTGTTCTAGCCACCGGTTTTTGGATCGACGGTTTGGCCATTCGGTTCGAACGGACGGCCCGTTCTGACAACAAAAAATTATAAGCAAAAATTTATGGAATCGTTTTGGCCACCGGTTTTTATGTCAGCGGTTCGATCATCTGGTTCGAACGGACGGACCATTCTGACA